TTCCTAAACTTGTATCAGCTTAGACGGTAGAGTTTCAAGTGACTTGTGTTCTTTTGGTGAAGTTTGTGAGAGGACAGTCAGCAGGAGGTTTGGTCGGCAAATCAGATGAATGATTTTCTGCGTTCGATTCTTTTCTTGGCATCCATGGAAATTAATAAACATAACTTGTACTTTAGCGCTTCCGTTTTTCCGGTCCTTCCAACGGAGAATTTCTAAATACAATGGTTAGAGCACGCATCTTAAATTTTATTATTTTGATACTAATCTTTTCGCGCATTACTTACGGCGCGCGAAGCTAGTAAAAATTCCAATTCAAATGGTGTGGTATTATGACGTAGTTGAGTGAAACCGAGGAAGCATGGGGAGCAAACTCTCACCTCCCTTATTATGCCATCTCCACTTAAGAGCAAACGGCCATACCATTTAAGTGGTCAAGTGTCGTCATCAAAGATGGTGGAACAGCTACACAAACCAGGATTTTAAAGTTGGAATATTAATGAGGAACAAAGGAAACTCTTCTACTCAGAGCAGAGTCAAAACTGCTCGACAAGCAGGGACAAGATCGGCTAGATTTTCTTAATTTTTTTTTTAACGCAATAAAAACGAAAATAAAGAGACAAAGAGACAGTTTTTTGGGTGTTGTCGTTTGTACCAGCAATCCAACATAACTAACCAGGTAAACACTTGTGTCCGTAACCAAGTCCTGATATGCAGTGTAATCTGTCACGCAACTTGTCCCGCAATCTTCTCGCAAACGGCGTGACAAGTTAATAAAACATTGAGCCATGTAACACAACGCGCTACGGAAGAAAACGTTTGCAAAACAAGTCGCTTCAACGGTTACAGAAAGTAGAACTAAGATCCAACTTTCTCTAACCGCTGTAGTAACTGTTTTGCATGAATTCTGTCCGTTACACGGTATGCTAAACGACGCAATATTTCATACGACGCACTCGTCACTCCGCCTTCGAAAATATTACAAGACTAGTTGCGTGAAAGATTACACTGAATAACAGGACAACAAACCAAGTTCTGCTTATAAAAAAACCACTAAAATAATGTCTGCCATAAAGCTCTCATTGTACCTCTATCACGTTTTCGTTGTAGTATCTGCGAGTTGCAAACTGTACTTAGTTGCTCAAAACAGCGTGACTTCAGTCTTTGCATGTCACCCTAAAATTTAGTCACAGAAATCTAGACAATTCACGGAGAAAAAATGCGTAACATCGTAAACTCCGATAAAACTCCTAAAAGAGAAGAACGAGGGATTGAAAATCTCCTTGACTTTGCGAGACAAGAATTTGTCACTCTTTGTAACTCCTTGAAAATAAACAACAAACCCTTCGATAAAATTTCACGACAAAATAATTGTTATGAAGTATATATGAAATAATTCATATTTGAACTGCGGTAGTAGATGAAAGTGAAGTATGATCATCG